GTACCAGAAGTTGCCAATGATAAACCAAGAAAAACTTGAAGAAATGTGTCAAAAGCAAGAATAAATCGAATAGCTATAAAAAAAAAGAAAAGTAATTTTATTGCTTCAAAATAGAAACTATGATTACAAACCTGTCCAAGCAGCAAAAAAAGCTACACCATTTTGTGCAAAAAATCGTAGATACCAAATATCTCGATTACTAAAATAAAGAACAAGATTTTCAAATCTATTCTTTTCTATAACTTACAATCCTTCAGTTTCATATAGTTTTCTATTAATTGCTACATTATTATTAATAATAAACAAAGCCATTGATAATAATACGAATGATATTAAATATATAACCCAAGTCCACTAGAATTTCGAGAATAAATAAAAAATTCGAAAGAATATATTTTTTTAGCTTACGATTAAATAAGTTTCTTGAAGGAATATTAACCAAAATGCTGGAATAAGAAAAGACAGATTATAAATACCATAAAATGTTGGTGTTAATGTATTTGGTGATAGATATAAATAGCCAGTTGATGATCGGCGATAAATAAATGTTAATGAATAGAGTAACCAAGAGAACTAAATGATTGTTTTACTTTTTTATCTGAATAATATAAAATAATATATTTACCTGCCAAAAATAATTAAGTGCATTTAAACTTCGATAAACCCAATCCGATGGAGTAATTTCATTAAGACGTAAATTTTCAGGACGTATTGTTCCGTTAATAGAAGCAGCTAAAATATAAACTAATGAACGAACATAATTTCATTACAAAAAAAACTTACGATGATTGCCACGTTCAAATAATTGACAGACAGCAATATAACCAATGAATAAAAGAAGTGTACCCAATATAAATGCTAAACGAATATAATTATGACGATATTCGCCGGCTGCAAGTTGGTTATTTATTAACATTTTCTTATAACTAGATAATCTAAAATATTTAATAAGAATAATTTTATTATGAGATCGTCGAAATTAAGTATATACATAAACTTAATAATAATATTTGAATTTATTTTATTCATTAGAAACTATATTAATAAATTATCGTATTAAAAAATATAGATGAATAATTAAACGAAGATCAAGTTGATATATGTTATTACTAAATATGAAATTAGCAATTCCAAAATAGTGTTAATACTAATATGAATGTTACATATTTTCTCATCTCAGGAATAGCAAATGTCAAAATAGTATTTAGTTATTATTTTCGAATGTAAAAGTCTTGCAGAAGAATTTTTGTGAATACAGAAACCTAAAAAATCTAGGAGGATAAAAACGGCATTATTTTATATATTCACAGCTGTTAAAATATAACTTACCGTTAAGGATAATATTGTTTCAAAATAATATTATATAGCACTCAAGATTATGACTGCGGTTCTGATTAGTTTCATTATAAATTTTTTATTCGAACAATCTTTCACTTACATCCGCACAGAGTTTCAAGATCAATCAGGGCGTTCTTTTT